TAAAAAGGTTTTCAAAGTAGTAAACATGAGCTCATAAATTTTATATTTCACATTTATTGTGAGTTCAATTTTATAAATAAATATAAATAAATAATAATATTAATTTTCTCTATACATAAATCGCATTGCAAAATAAAGTTACAATTACAAAGTCTGAGCAAAAATTACAACAAATGTTGTCTAATTACAAAAGAATATTGATCGCAAGCAATTGCATGTTATCGTTGCAACCAGGGCTGTGGAGTCGGAGTTGCAGAGTTGCGACATTTTTAGCGGAGTCAGAATCGCTAAACAAAATCGCAACTCCGACTCCAATAATAAAATTTCTCAGTATTGCACATGCATGTATAAAACATTCAATTAACCTTATATTTATATTAAACCTCAAAGAATGTTTCATAAATTTGTCAAAAAACTTTTTTTTAACTTGTCGCATAATATTTTTTTTCAAATATTTTGCTTTGGAGTTGGAGTCGGAGTTGTACTCAAAAAAATTCAACAACTCGAGTCGGAGTCGTTACTTTTTTTTTACGACTCCACACCCCTGGTTGCAACAAAGAATACCAATAATAATATATAAATATAAGATATATATATATATATATATATTTATATATATATATGTATTTATTTATTTATTTATATATATATATATATATATATATATATATATATATATATATATATATATATATATATATATATATATATCAAGCCTTCCCAGGAAAGGTGTGCGGTTTTTTTTTCTCGTACGACCACGAAAACGTGATCACGGCCGTTTGCGCAAGTTATATTATATGCGTTACTGAAAAATTGTTTTAAATTTAATAACTGTATTAAGAAATTAAAGTTAACTTAAATAGAAAACAATAATAATAGTTTATATAACTTGTGTGTTGTTTTTATTTTTGTTTTTTCTTAGTGGTTAATATTATCGGCAACAAAATTCATTAAGTCAAAAAAAACAAGCGTTTTAGGCGTTAAAAAGGATGGCTTTTCCATATTTTATGTGCTTTTGCTTTTAAAGAGAAAAGAGAAAATATGTATCGTCATCTGCTTATAAAATATATTTGTATAATTATAATGTAACAAGTTTATATCAAGAGTTAAATTATAGGATCGCGTTTGCAAACTCTGGTAAAATATTAGTTCTTTAAAATTTTAGTTCATACAAAGCTGTGTACTTTGTTTATAAGGAGCAAATTATTAAAAGTTTGAAAGAAAACCCGAAAGAAAAACAATCATATTAACATGTTTGCCACCACAGATTTATTCTGCACTGGATGATCTATGCTTGCCTGCATACCCAGAAGATAACTCAGTTACCTATGTAGACATCGAGGAAAACATCATTAAGCTTTTTAAACCGAAGTCATCGTTAATACTACGCTTTGAAGTTGCAACTATACAAAAAGCAAGTAACGAAAGTGTGATGGAATTTTCATGATGGATTGCAAGAGCTGCTGAAGGATGCAAATTCACAGATAGAGATAATTGAATGCGCAACCAATTCATCATGCGTTTCAATAGTGTCATAATCAAACGGTAATTGATGGAATCTGAAGAACTAACATTTGCAAAGGCTGTGAAAATTGCAGTTACCCTTGAACAAGTAACCCAGGAAGCTCAACAATTAGATGGTTCCTATAATGTAATAATTGCGACAACATCGTTACATCCGCGGACATCTAGTGTGTCTGACAAACAAAATTACATGTTTCAATTGTGGAAAACTTGGACATTTTGCATGGGACTGCGAAGCAAAATGCAAGACTTGTTCACAAGATCATTAAGCTAAAGACTGCTTCAAACGTTTGCAAAGTTTAAAAAGAAAAGGGAGAATTTGGAAATAATGGCATCCAGTATTCTATCGAAATGGTGTTGTCATCATTAAAAGTAGAAATAAACTAATGCTCCAAACAGCATTAATTGATTCTGGATGTTCCATCACTGTGGTTCATGCTGAATCCACGCATGATCTTGTTTTAAAAAGTCAAAAACTTATCACAACTTTGGAAGGAACTGTGCAAATGCTAGGTGAAATGTTAATCAAATTGGAAATTAATGGAAAATACACATGATGGTTTATTCTCTTATTGTAAAAGTAAAACCATTTGGGTTTGATTTGATTTTTGGAATGAATGCGATTGAAAAATTTGGAAGAGTCATCATTTATAGTTATAAAAACCGTACTGTATGAATGTTAGCATGTGACACAGCAAAATGTGGTGCCGTTACTATGACAAGAAAAAACAAAAACTAAATAAACAAATTTAAATTTGGTGTTATTAATATGACAAGAAATAAAGATAACGAGATAAACTATGGCGATAAAATATGGGGCAGTTACTACGACAAGAAAAAACAAAAACAAAAGAAACGAAATAAAACATCAGGACTTCACAGCAAAGTTTGATTGGAAAAAGTTGACGGCATCATGGAACTGGAATAAAGAGCCTGTGATTGATAATACCATTTGTGAATACAAGATTAACCAAGA